ACGCGGCATAACCGATTTTCTAGCGACAATCCGTCGCATTTGCCCCATCTCTGAACTCGTCCAATAAACCTGTCACACTATGCAAAAAAATTATAACGCACAAATTCAGAAATCATGAGATAAAGTCACAAGGATCGATCATCCAATCAGATCCAAGAGTTTGTAAACACCGTAACTTGCAGGTAAACCGTACACTACGTTGTACGTTGTACAAACTCCGTTCCTGGTACTGCCAGATCTGCTAATAATGGCAGTAGTAATAATAGTAATAGTAAAAAAAGCAGATATGTCAGTAAAGTTCTATAAAATGAAAATGTATTTAAAGACTTGAAGTTTCATACAAAAATAAAGACAACTCCCCTCTTGAGTTCGAAACTACAAAATAATAGTAGTAGTAGTTCCCTAAGTACCCTATAGTCATATCGACGCTTATAGCCTTCGTATTATCGTATTTGTCTTGTCCCCGTGATTAGTAAAAGACCCATTTTCGATAGTTCTCTAAAAGTAAAAGAGAAAGATCGTATTAGTAATCGATCCCTTTTATATAGAATTAATAAACTGATTAAGTTGGTGATTGACCCTATTGCTAAATAAACTTACATACGTAATCGCCCCGAATCGTGATCCTGTGACACGTGACCCCGAAATTCGAAATCCGACAGTCAGTTAGAACCCAGGCGCACTAGAACAGTAGAGAAGCTAATATAGTAGCCATTGTAAGAGGGAATTGCGCACTAGAACAGTAGAGAAGCTAATATAGTAGCCATTGTAAGAGGGAATTGAAAAGTAGTGTAAAGCCTTAGTACTATTAAGAAATCAAGCATAGAAAGTAAGATCAATCCAGAGTCTTGATCCCGTGAAACCGCAGTAATCGAAACCACCCTATCCTCGGACCAAACCAATCCACGCCTCAATCGACGCCTACCAATTAGGATGTAACAAGAGAGGTAGATTATATTAGATTCAGTAGTTCTATAGCCGGATTTTCGAGTAGAAGTAACCCTTGTTAGACCAGTGCTTGTAGCAATACCAAATCACACCGTCACAACGTACAAAAAGCATTATTAACTTTTAATATTTTTGTATGATTATACATCTGTACATTATTTTGTGGATAATACAGTCAACTCTTTCTATAGCGAACTGACAATTCTGGGAGAAAAAACTCGTTATAGAATCACTATGGTTTTATACAGAGGTTCGTTATATCCAGAGTCGACTGTATTTTAGCATTCAAATTCGAACGTTAAGGATGGTAATTTAATGGATAGCATAAAATTTCTGGACAAGTTAATAATTAAACTTTATAATAAAAATTTGAAGTTCTAAAATTATTTGCTAAAATCAGATGTCGAAAATTTTACAATTTACTATGTACAGTACACACACATACGTATGTGCATATATCAATATCATATGTGTGCTGAATTTACTACAGTATTATATTACATAACAATAAGAACAAAAGGAAGAAAGTGTGATACGTATACGTAAGATTGTGAACTAAGTAAAAAAATATGCTAAGATAATTAAGCTTAATACGTATTAACGAGAATTAATTTCAATTTATACAATTTAATTCAAGTTAAAAAAAAAAGTTTTATCTAATAGTTAGATATTCATGTGAAAACGGTAATGCATATTGATATGCATACATGCTAACAAATTTGTATTTCTGTTCTAACCCTCTGATAAATTGTGTTGCAATAAAACGCCACAGTGATCACTTTTAAGTTTGTATCTTCTCAAAAAGTACTAAAACATAAGTAAAGAACTGCAGAAAGTGGGACACGCTGCTATAAAAAGCGTATGTATTTTCTAGAGATTTAAAAAATCAAAAAAAGCATTTGAGTGGTATTTTAAATCGGTCACCTTACCGACAGGTTATTTAGCAACGTGACAATTTAGCATGACATCAGTTGTACGTACGTAAATTGTTAAACCCGAAACACGTGATCCACGAGTGGCCGATTTCGTCGCCGTTCGACCTCAAGTCAAGATCTCTTGCCATACTTGGGATAACCGTGCTTATAATGATTATAATGATTATAATGCTTATATTGATTATAATCATTATAATCAATATAAGCGATATAATCAATATAATCATTATAATTATTATCGACACCCTAAAAATAAATAGTAAATTAGTTATAAATAACATGTAGTTTCGCTCAAGTAATAAAGTGGATTCCATTACCTTACGAACAAATCGAAGTAAGGGTTCGTCTACGAGTGACTGTAGAGAACCATTGTTAAAGAATAAACCTAAACCGCATAGAGTAGTAAATCCCAACCTGATTGCCAGTAATTCCCGACGTAGTGAGAAATACTGCAGTGTTAGAAGAGTTAGAGTGATAGTCCCGACGTAGTGTAGACTATCCAGGATAAGCCAAAATCGCTCGCCAAATCTACACGCCTTTTTCGACAGTAAGCCATCCGATAGTTACACGAAGCCGACCTTCGATTAGCGACAGACTCGCTGATTTAGGGCATCTCAATATATATCAATATATATATAGTAATGTTAATAAATTGTCACATACCGTGATGCCAGATAAATGGCCTGTTTATGGAATGATTATCGAAGACAGAACCATTTGAAATCAGCAGAAGAGAAAAATTTTCGCGGACGATATGTTCTCGCATATTTGAGTAAAGAGGGAAATTCCGAAGAAAAAAAAAAATTGCAATCTTAGAAGAGGAATTTTATTGATAATAAAATCGATAAACGATAAAGATTTTTTGAAAGATATCAATAATAAGCTTTCAATGTAATAGCTTGCGTTTAGCCAAGGGCCTTGTATTGATTTAATGTAATAAACCAACCTGATTACAAGTATTGATGTTTTCCTATATCAAAGGCTTTTTGTTATAAATTTTCGATTAAAACTCAAAGTCTTTCTTATATCAAAATTTTCTTATCTCAAAGATTTCTTCATCGAAAGCCAATTGGGTTCCTAATTTTCCCCCATAGTTACTATTGGAAGGAAAAAATTCCTGCTTTTTGATTAAATAATGAACTTCAAAAACTTCAATTTTTTTTTTGAAATTTTATGTTCACCCGATGTTATAATTTGATTGGTAGACGAAAGGTGGCATAGATACATTGTCCAATTAGAGACGGCATTTACAACTGTCCAATTAGAATTGTGAAGAGAAATTAAAGATCTCAAGTCAATTGAATTAAATCTGTGTTCGAAAGGATATTATGTATTACGTTTACAGTATAATAATATGTTTTAAGTTATTATCATACTAACCATTTTTGGATCAAATGTCAACCCGGAAATACTCCCCGTGAATTCAATATTCACACAATGATTATACGCATTTTGTTTATTCATACACATAATGTATACAGTAATAAACTTATACATTTGCTTGTAGTGCAACAAATAATACGGTTTTCAGTTTGTTTAAGTTATTTATAAACAAAATAGTGCTTTCAATATTATCGTTATCGGAATTGGTATTTTTGTCCATATGCGTGAACGTAAGCATGTATGGACTGTACGTACAAGTTTAATTCTACCTAGATTGCAAATGGACTAGCGTGATTACATTATCAACTTTACTAGGTTGATGCATCCTTTTTTGCATCAATCGGTTAAATCATTTCGAAAAGATCTCAGTTTCATATGTGGATCTGATTCGGAGATTCCGAAAAATCTAGGATTTATAAATCTATAAATGATCTGCATACGTATACAGCAATGTAACTATTTTAGGGTTGAACACGATGAACACACGAAAAAAAAATTCCAGTGATTGAATTCGACTTAAAAGCTTAAAGTAATAAAAAAAATAAAATTTACAAAATTTTTTTAATAAAAAAATAAAATTTCTATTTATTCTCCAAAATTATTTTCTTTTTACAAAATGAATTTTTGGCTTTATTTGGTTCTTATAATTTTGATTTTATCATTCTACATTATACGTAGGATTTATAAACCTCCTGAAGGATTAGATTTCATTCCAACTGTTTCTTTCTTTAAGCTCCTTTTAATTTTGTTTCGTAATAAAGACCAACAGTATGAAATTCAAAAACTTATTTATGAGTCAGATCATGATAAAATTGGTTTAGTAAAAGTTGGTAATTTTATTCGTAATTAACCTCTATTACTGTTTATAAAAAAAATTAATACTTTTTTCTTCGATATTTTAGCTTTTTTTTGGTTTGGGGTGGTTGGTTCTTATAACCGACATTGAACATGCTAAAATATTTTTCTCTGAGAGTGGTATATATTTATTGCATTTTTTTTAAATTTTAGATTGTCATTTCTTAAAAATATTTATTTATCTATATCGATAATAATATTATTACTATTTTTTTATTAAGCATATTCTCTTCCAAAAGGCGAATTACCTGAAAACCATCCAACAAATCTTTTTTTTGGAAAAGGAATATCATTCTCGAATGGAGATGTAATTACATTTTTCATTAAAGTTTTAATTATCTTGTTATTTTGTTAAAAAGTTCCATCTTTTAAATTAAAATCTTTATTTTAAAGCGCTGGCTACAACAACGAAAACTAGCAACACCAGCGTTTAATCGAGCACTTCGTCCTGAAATGGTTTGCGAATGCACTGATAACTTTATTACTTTATTAAACAAATGGACCGATATTCCGATAGATGTTTTTTCATTAATGCAACGTGTTACTATTCAAGTATTAGGAAAATTGGCTTTTGCATATGATATGAAAGTACGTATTTATATATAATTTACATAAATTAAGAATTCTATTTTCACTCATCGATAGGTTATAGTGACGGATGCATAATGGATAAATAGAAATTTCCCCAATTTATTATAATATTTTTTAAATACTAAATGTTAAAACTTATTTTTCAAAATTAAGGCATTAGAGAACTTGGAGGAACAACCATATTTTTTAAAATCATATAGTAAAATTATTCACTTTCTTACAGAACCGGTTACTGCTTTATTTCCATTTATGAATTCACTTCCTCTTAAAAAAAATATTGAACACTCTTTATTAATTAAAGAGTTTGACAAATTTTTATTTAAAATGATTGAGCAACGAAAATTTGAAATGTCTAAAGCCAAAAGTGATGATGAGAATACTGATTTATTGGCTGGAATTTTAGAAGCTGCTAAAAATGAAGAATACATGTACACTAATAAAGAACTTAGAGATGATATAGTTGTTTATTTTGCGGCCGGGCATGACAGCAAGTATTAAGTTTATATTATCATCTATTGTGAAAGTTTATGCTGAGATTAAAATTTAGGTCTCTATTTGAATCTATAATACTTGATAAAATATATGCATATATATATTGTAAGTTAGAATGAAATTTGGGATAAGAGAAAGAGTATATTGAGTAATTTCTACCTAATATTTTTCTTTTTTTTCCCATTTACAACCTATATACTTTTATTACCAACTTTAGATACTAAAATATTTTTAAGGTCAAAAATTCAGCATCAGCTTACACATTTATTATAAAAAATATAACGACTTAATTTAATTCTTTTATTAATACAGCTACTTCAGTTTCGTTAAGCGTTGCTTTTTATTATTTAGCAAAATATCCTGTAATTTTAATTTTTTTTATAATGCTGAAATTAGATCTTATTTGATAGAAATATAAATACCTAATTTATCTTTTTTTTTATTCAGGATATGCAAAAAAAAGTTAGAGAAGAAGCACTGAATGTTTTAGAAAGTGCTTCAAAAATACCAACTTCTGAAAACCTTAAGGTATTTTTCTATTTTAAAATTCACCAACATTAAATACTGATAATACCCTTTTTTTTTAAAAAAAATAATAGGACCTAAAATATATAACAGCAATAATTATGGAATCGCTCCGCATTTATCCTCCAGTATTGCAGGTGCTATTTCGTACTCCTACTAAGCCATTAAATTTAGCAAGAAATATTACAATACCGGAAGGAGTAAAGATCGCAGTAAATTTATGGCAAATTCATAGAAACCCAGATCTTTGGAATGATGTTGATAGGTTTATACCTGAAAGATTTATGAATCCTGAAAAAGATATAAGAAATAATTGGGCTCCATTTTCTAGTGGACCCAGAAATTGGTATGTCTTTTTTTTTTTTTTGCTTAAGGAAGGTTTTATGAACGTAACTTATTATTATATACTTATACCTATAATGCTGTTTGTATAGTATTGGTCAAAATTTTTCGATGATGGAACAAAAAATTATTATTGCAATGACACGTAAGTTCATTTTAAACGCACTATATATATATATATTTTTTTTTTAGCTATATATAATGAATTTTATAATAATAATAATTACTGTACTTTTTATTTATTATTTATTTATTTATTTATATTATTTATTTATAGTACTTAATTATGAGATCTCTTTACCGTCGAATACTAAACACTTTGATAAAATAATATTAACATCAGCCTTCATGTTACGTCCCGATAATTTAGAACTTGTATTTTCAAAGTTAAAATAGATGATTCTAAAGCTTTTTTTTTTATTAGTGTATTTATTATCATTTGCAATGTATAAATAAAATTTATAGTGTTATTAAATCAGGATCGTTAAATACAGTGATATCTCAATGTCCCATATGCAATAGTTGTCAAAAAATGTCAATTTATTTGCATTTAATGATTTATTAATTAAACATCTTATAAGAACTACAAGCTTTGAATATGGGTATATCTCCTTATCTAAATCCAATTTTTTAGTTTTTTTTTTCGGGATCTTTTTACTTAAATCGATTGCCAAAAGTACGCATTAAAGCACATGTACAAGACATTGATCACATGGCAAGTTTCTGTTCCGACAGAACAAATTTTGTGATATTTATGATTTACCAGTCGTGGTTGGCTAACTGAGTTTTAATTCGGGATTGTTGTGCTTTATAACGTGCAAAAAAAAATAACAAGAAATAAATTTATAAGAGTTTGCACGATAATAACGATAATATGCAAGATTTTGCTTGCCTGTAAACAATAAATTTCGTTTCATTAGTTTATGGACTTTGGTGCCTATACACCTCTCCTAAATAAGGTGAGGGCCTGCCCCTGCTTTCACGTTTCCTGTAATCTTAAAGCATAGGTTAAACAAGGAACTCGCAGTTCTTCATAACTCTCTGCATTTGCAAGCTCTAAAGAAAAGTCTAGTCTTGGTTCCGCACAACAGAGACTTAAGTCTCACCTCACAGGGTTTACAAAAATTGTATTATAAGTATGTAATACACTATAAATAATAAAGCGCTACAAGCGCCTCTCAGTTTGCTGAGAAAAGTCAAAAAAAAAAACCATTCGTTTCATAGCATTACCCATGCCGTTGAGCACGGATTTTTATTAATTGAACTAAAGAGGAGTGGAAGACCTTAGAGCCTTACTCTTGATTTTATCTGTTGTCCGATTCCCCCTTGTAATTATGCCTAACAATATCAATGCAGCTATAAATTATCATTATCGTGATTTCTGTTTCGTAATTTTATTTGTATTTCTAATTTATATCTATTGTATTTGCTATTATATTTACAACAATTAAACAAAAAGTAATAATAATAAAAAATTAACCATCTATAAATTGATAATAAAATGGCAACGTCTTATAGAGATATACTATCAAATATTCGCTGTTCCTGTGTTTTGAATTAGTTCATACATTTTAAGATTACTCTATTGAAAACTTTACATAGACTATATATATATGAATTAATTCAATGTATGTTTAAAAATTACACAATGAATAATGATTTCGTTCGTTTCAAAAAATAATTATTTTCTTAAAGCTAGATAAGGACTTTATTGCGATGGTGCTTAATAGTTCAACAGCCAAATTGTAAAACCATTTAATTGTATGACGTACATGTAGTTCTGTAGTTCCGGAGTGAAATAATTTTAGTTATTTCATTTTATTTATTTAAATGATATTAATTTTGCTTTAAAAGATTACATATTGTCAGAGGTAAAACCGACACCTCATGGAACCTGCGAAATGGACGTCATTGTGGCATACTTACCTAATTAGAGT